GATCTACCGCGACACACTTGTCAACCCCATTTGGGAAGGCACGGTCAGCGTAATGGCCGACGATGTGGTGCGTGTTATGCTTGACAAACGTATCGGCTATGGGGATGTGATTGCCTACATCTTTGACCCCTATATCACGAGAATGCTTGGACTGGTCAAGAAGGCATTTGGGCACGAAATCGGCATCGTTCAACGGAGATTATACGCGTTGCGCACCTTAACAAAGGAGAAGTCGAGGGACGAGTTGCTCTATAGCGGACGGGAGATTCTCGAGCATATCGAAGCCATCATCTGTGGCGTGCTACTCATGTACGATGCGACTACGAATCCCAACACTGTTGCGGAAGAAATAGCGCGGCGCTGGGTCCACTCGAAAGCCTTGTTTCCACACGAAGAAGACCGCAGTGCTCAGACGTGGAAGGCAGCAGTGCAGCTGGATAGGCAGATATTCCTGGGCGGCCCAGACGAGGGTCTGCAAGGATCAGCTAGACTGTAGTCCCTGATTGTGTATATTTCATCTGCAACTTTGTATAATATATGATTTTATCAAGCAAGTAAGTCGACTAGTCACGTTCCACTCATAGAGTCACCCGCATCGGCCTACATTACGCTGCTTGACATCACGACTCGGAGAACATGTCACGCAGGAGAAAATTGACTACACCAATGCAGTGGTTCGAATTGTGAAGTGTGCGCCGAAGCTGCACGATCAAGTGAGATGATAGGTGTCCGCAAGGAAACATGCGAGGCAATATTCATAATGCGACACCGAAGTTGAGAGAAACGCGGATGTGAAGTGATGAAAATCCATCCAGCACTCCATTTTTGTTCTAGCTAAGTATACAAACAAGGCATTCGCTGTACGCCGTACAGTAAGGCATGCTTAGAGTGGTGCCACAAACAGGATTTCTTAGTCGTAAAAAAAAAGGTCGTATCGAAGATAAAGTCTTGGATCAGTTGTTGAACATTCCCTTCTGGAAGCTCTCCACGCTCAAGTCGCCCATCTTGCTACCGATCTCAGGCTTTCCCGCTTGCACGCGCACCAACTCCTTCTCACGGTCCGCCATCTCGTTGCTCCTGTTAGGGGGCGCGAAGTCCGCCACTGAGCTAGTCATGGTTTGCACTCTGCTACCATTCGGGCTGCCGGCCTGGCTAGCTGTCGTCAGCATTTGCTGTTGTGGCCGGCGCTGAATCGTCTCGAGATATGGGCTGGGTAGGTAGCCCTTCCGGCCATCGCGGGCACGGCACAGCCACCATTCGCTTGCGTTGCCGAGCGGATCCGTCTTGCTCAGCACTGCAACCAGATCACCTTTCTTCACGACTAGATCAACACCCTGCACTGATTGGGCGTTGTTCTCGGGAGCAAAGTCGTAAAGGACTCTGCAAAAATCGAGCTTATTGGGGTCCAAAGCTTCTTGCCCTGGAAGACCCTGAGGGTTGGCGGCCATGCGCCGCTTCTCTTCCTCTTCTTGGCTCTTGGCCAGATTGCGAATCAATTTGCCCATTAGGTAGGGGAGGCCAAAGGCTGTAACAAGGAAAATGATGAAAGGCTTCTTAGAAGCACGGGGAGGGGCGGGCGAGCCATCCGGTAGCTTGCCATTGAATTGATGGAAGTTGGCTGGGGTGAGGTCGGTGGAAGACGCGGGCGGTGGCCGTCCGGTCAACTTTGCAATTGCCGTCCGAACCCAACGGATGATTGTGAAGATGCCCAGCACGGAGCCGAGCGTATTGCGCAGGTTTCCGAATTGCTCTGCAACCGATACCATGGCTAAAATCATGTCAGCAATTGTCGGAGTCAGAATGTTGTCTCGAATTGCTCACCAAAGAAGCTGGAATGAGTGGCCATGTACGTGCTTTCGAGCATTTGCGCAAAGCCCCCAAAAGCGCCCACTATGCTCTCAATGATCTGGAATGTAGCCTGAGTGCTTTGGCTGAAGCTCTGCGTCAAGCTCTGCTCTTGCCCAGGCATGCCGTAGCCGTTGCCATACATGCCACCCATTCCGCCGTACATGCCGCCCATGCCACCATAACCCCCACCATACATTCCTCCCATCCCACCGTAACCGCCATAACCACCGTATCCTCCACCCAGTCGTGAGTAAGGGCTTGAATATGACGACATGCCGCCGATTCCGTAAGGCGAGGAGCCAAATCGGTTCGCACCGTAGTTGGCTGATGAATAATTTGACGCGTTGCGATTTACCACCGAATCAAGTGAGTCTGGTCGCGAAGGCAGAGCGGGCGCGGCTGCGGATGTGGAGGAAGTAGGGATGGAGGAGGTAGGGGTGGCTGCGGTTCCAGTTGATGATGCCAGCGAAGAGCCTGCGCCAGCTCGTTCCCAAGGCTTCGGAGGCGAAGGCGTCGCCATGCCCGGCGCGCGAAAGCGCTCTTAGAGTCGCGATACGCGATAGGACGTAGGAAATTTACCACGCAACTTATAACGCCATGAGCCGGTGTATATGAGAGAGATTTTGTTTGTGAGGGATGAGGGGTGTCGCAGAGTCGCCGCCCGGGTTTGCAGTCCAGCAAGGTTTGTAGTCGTATCGGAACAGTCCCGCGAAGGACCGAGTATAAAGTCGGGAGGTCTTGGTCGTCAGGACTGTAATATTCCAGGTGGTGATGATGGCGAGAAGAGACGTGTGGATGAAAAAGGGCTGGTGGAGGATGTTGGAACGATCAACGGTTGGGGGTCGGCAACTCGTGCGCTCCTTGGTGCTCCGCACGCGAAACCGAGCCGAGGCCCACGGGTTCACCGAGCTTGTCTCATGCTTCTGGAAGTTGCCGCATCACCAGTAGCTGCTCCTTAAGAATACTATAGAATCTAATTACATGCCTGGCGAAACTACCTGATACCCTCAGTAACCCGTGCTGAACAATTCCCGGAGTAATAGTCGTGATAGAAAACGCCACCCCATCTATGCCACCTAAATGGCCCGAGCAGCCTCGCCAGCACTCTCCTCCTCAGCCATAGCTCGAGCCTTGCCCCTGCCAATGCCTCCCTCTCCTACACCCATGCGCTTGGCTACATACCGCTGTGCCACTACACCAATTGCGAGACTCAGGGTCTCCTCAAGCCACTCTGACACCCATTCCCGAGCGTCCACGCCACCGGACTCGATCATTTCCTTGATGCTTTCAGGGAGTCCGTCCGGTGAGTCGGCGCTCGAATCCATCCACTCCGACCACTGCGCTGGGAATGACTGCGATATTGTGGAGAATGTGATAGAATGTACGGGGTCGTACAGATAGATAGCAAATGAGTTGATCGTCTGATCCTTTGGCTCCGGTTCCAGGACCCCACCTTGGTCGTCTTTCGGCTTTTGGCTTTCGGCGAATAGTTCGGCTTTGTCGATCTGAGAGATGGCTTGGATTGCTAAGAAGATGTCGGAACTGCGAACGGGGTTGCTCTCGCTGAGGACCTCGGTGGCATGCTTGGCTGCTTCTTCGAGGCCACCACGAGTAGAGAAGAACTCATTGGCGTATGCTTCAGCGTTTGCACGCGCAAGCTTTGTTCCCTCGACGAGACCCTGAACCGCACCTAAATCCCGCTTTCTTTCCGTATCTCTCCACCATGGCCCGTCGCTCCAACCGCGCGAATTGGCACCAAGCATGCCACCCCGGTATCCTAGGTCTGACACGCTACGATCACGAGCCCTTGACTCGGTCCCTCTCTGAATGACGAGCAGATCACCGCCCTCCACCTGCGACATGACGCGAGCGAAGACTGAATACACTATCGGATCGAGGGACGGGTAGCCGAGAATGTCATGGGTGGTGTGGATCTGTAGACGCTCGTGAGCAGAAATAGGAGGAGCGATGGTCTCGAGGAGGTTCGTGAAGGTAGGCATGGCCAAAGATCGTACGTTTCCGCCTGCAGAAAACAGTCAGTGAAGTGATCATTCACTCCCAAGTGCAAGCCCCACCATAAGCTTTCAGAGTCTCGACGTTGCCTCGCATCTGCTCTGCCCACTTCATAGCCTCCTCGTTGGATCTGATTTGCTTGGCCGCAGCCTCGGCCTGCTTGACTGCCGCCGAAGCAGCTGTGAAGACGCTACCCCACCAGCCTCCGCCTGATGATGCCTTTTCTTGAGCCTGCACAGGCTTCACAGTCTCAGCTGACGATTGCATGCTTTGCGAGATAGAGACGGCTGCATGGCTGTCGCGCGGCGTATCTGCAGATCGTCTATCCTCGCTGTTCCTTCCGCTTGGAGGCCCGGAACTGGAAGGTGTGGCTACCTTCGGGCCGGTAGTTCCTGATGTGGTGGAGCTGGCAAGATGAGGTGTGTGAGGCCTCGAAACAGGTGGCTTGGCTGAGGCGAGGGCGGTCAGCTCAGCCAACGGATCATCGTCCTCGGTTGGTGGAGGGGCGGCAGCAAGCTTGGGCGGCTTGCTGGCTGGTGTAGACTTGGGAGCAGCAGCGTCTGGCGTTGATGAAGGGATGTCCTCGAACTGAGCGAAGAGCTCCTCGTCGGTCAGAGCTTTCTTCGCGGCCATGGTCGATATATGCCTAGATTCGTATATCTCAGTGGTTGCGATGTGATCTAGAGATGTAATGAAGTCGAGCCACATGCCACTCGGAGGTTGGGTGAAGCTAAGGCCGGCCCTGGTCCCTGATTGGATTGACGGCACTATCCGCAGCTCAGCTGCATCGAGTCTAGCGCGGCAGGTTCATCATGAGGTATGAGACATGGAGACACTGAAAATCAGAGGCACGACTGCGATAGCCATGCAGGGACCGTGTTGTGTAGTCGTTGTACAGACTAACGATGCAGCGATTCTCATCTCGTGTTACACATCCTTCAGGCTTATTTGTTATTGCTTTTGTGCTTGTCCAGCATACAATCCTTTCACTGATCCACAACACCTGGGAGCGGAAATCGGAGTGGTAGATTGGACCTTGCATAGCGAGGAAGGCATAGATACAACAATTCCCCTTGACTAGAAATCTACAGCAGAAGCTGGCAAAAGGCCAAACAGAGCCAAAAAATGGCAAAAGAAGATGTCGCTTCTGTGGATCGAACACAGTACCTCCAGATACCGCACAGTTGCTAGTGGGACCAAAGTTTATCTTCAGTCTGGCGCTCTCCCAAGTGAGCTAAAGCGACTTTGACGTCGACTCAAGGCCGGGGATGAGTTGCGGCGCGGGGAAGACAAAATATATACTCAAAACGTTTGTGCGTTGGACGGTGGTGATCCGTGACCAACGAGTGATGAGTCAGTATGCTGACGAAGCGGACCGCGGTCCCGTCTAATCACCTTCGCACGTCACACACCTCTGTGTCCGGCGGCAGCTCCGGCTACCTGACCTTGACCATGCGGTGTATCTCAGCCCTTGAAGAAATTTCGACCGACCATTGCCGTACGGATGACTGTAAGCAGGCTACCGGAATCTTAGCATGGCTGTTGATATCTAGCTGATCCGCGGACGTTTGTCGATCTGTCACGTTGTTTCCTCCTTGGTTTCCCTCTTGCTGCAGCTCTGGTGGGGATTCTTGCTGGACCCCTTCGCGGTTGCGCCCTGTTCCTGCCGAGTGTGTTTTTGCCTTTGAAATCTCACCTCCCCGCCTTCTTTCTTCCCGAAGACTCGACGATAATTCACCCCCTGGTCGTTGTCGCGTCGCGATCAAAATGCCATTGTGATTTGCTTGTCCACGCCGACGGTGGCTTCTTTTCACGTCGGCAGCGCCCTGGTGCCACATCCTACGGTCTTTGCGCCAAACTAGAAACACAAGACCTCGCGATGCCTGACTCACGCCCCGCCTTCAACTTCAACAGTGCCGAGCCGCTACCTAGTCTGAACAGCGCTGATACCTCTGTCACTGGCACCCCTTCGACTCACCGCGCTGCTCTTTCTGGCTTGAACGATGACGGCGGCGTGTCGAGAAAATCCAGCACCCCGCCCCCTCACCCCACCTCGCATCCCGCTGCGCCCGTCGTTGATTCGCAAGGGCGCATTTTGAATCCCCGATCCTGTGTCACTTGCAGGCGGAGGAAGGTCAAATGCGATAAGCTACATCCTTGCTCCAACTGCGCCAGAGCGCATATTGAATGTATCTTCCCAAACCCTGGCCGTGCTCCGCGCAAACCGCGCAAGCATGTCGAATCCAGGGACTCGGAGCTCCTCGCCCGCCTTCGCAGGCTTGAAGGTGTGGTCAAGACCCTTGGGGTTGAAGTTCCCGCTGGTGATGCTGGAAATGACAAACACCATGCGACAAGACCCTCAATTGAAAGCCCCTCAGCTACGTCCCCTTCAAACGAGCACCCGCACCATGCCGCGCCGCGGAAAAGTCTGGATCACTCGACTCCATCCAGCACTAATAGTTTTGATGGTGCTGGTCACCACCATGCGAATGGCGGCCTTGAAAACAGATTCGGGCGCTTGGTGGTGAGTGAGGGTCGCTCTCGCTACGTCAATACTTCGTTCTGGGCTAGCCTGAGTAACGAGGTGGAAGATCTCAAAGGTATCTTAGGTGATGACTCGGAAGAAGAAGATGAAGGGTCCCCTGGAGTGTCCCACGGTCATACTCCCAGTCACCATCAGGGTTGGATGTTCAAATTCAGCTCTCATAATGTTGACATGCTCACCCTTCATCCTATTCCGACCCAGATCCCGGTCTACTGGAGCATATTCAAGGATCGCGTTGATCCGCTCGTCAAAGTGCTTCACTTGCCCAGCATCACGCCTACCATACTTGCTTCTTCCTCGCATTTAGGTAATCTATCACGGGGCTTCGAAGCTCTTCTCTTCGCCATCTATTATGGTGCGACAACCAGTCTCTCACCTAAGGAATGCCTGAGCATGTTGGGCGAAGAGCGGGGCACTCTCCTCCACCGCTATCGTTTTGGTGTCGAGCAAGCATTGGCAAGGGCTGGATTCCTCACCGCCGAGGAGATGGTCATCATACAAGCCTTCGTGCTCTTCCTGATGTGTTTACGTCGTAACAGCAGTGCCCGTGTTATATGGACTTTGACTGGACTGCTGGTCCGCATGTCGCAGACTATGGGTATTCACAGGGATGGTACCCATTTTGGACTCGACCCTTTCGAGATTGAGATGCGCCGTCGACTGTGGTGGCAGATATGTCTTCTTGATTCTCGCGCGTCTGAAGACCACGGCTGCGATCCAACCATCGTTGAGCAGTCGTTCGACACCAAAATGCCTATGAATGTCAACGACACTGACATAGGTCCTGGCATGCCTGAGTTCCCTAAAGAGCATGTTGGGTGCACCGACATGTCTTTTTGCCTTATACGCTTTGAGGTTGCCAATACCTTCAGGAGGCTAAACTATGTACCGCCTGGGCCTAAGTTTTGTGGCGGTCCGGACGATTTCTCTCCAATTTCCTTACAACAGAAGGAGCAGTGGATCCAAGAAATGCACGACACTCTGGAAGAGAAATATCTCAAGCACTGTGATATGACAATACCGTTGTATTGGGTTACCGCCACTGTGTCACGTCTTATCATGTCCAAGATGTGGCTCATGGTATATCATCCACTCCAGCGGAACGATGTGCATAATAGTCTCTCGGATGAGATTCGCGATAAGTTGTTCATCACAAGCCTCGAAAATATCGAATATGGTATCCTACTACAGACGGAAACGCGGACCATGCAATGGGGGTGGTTGTTCCGGACATATATGCAGTGGCATGCCTTAGCTCTGCTTTTAACAGAGCTGTGTAAGCGGACTCGGGGGCCGCTAGTCGACCGAGCTTGGATCGCAGTCGACCAGGTGCACGACATCTTGCGGGAGTTGAACAGCACCGGTGGTGCGATATTTCTCTGGAAACCGATTGACCGCTTGCTGGCCAAAGCCAAGGCAGCGCGCCAGAAAGCACTCAATGAAGACGCGGCTGGCCGTGAAATGAAACAAGAGCAGATGTCGGACCAGTATTTGCCTCCCGGGTCTGTTGCGCATATCCTTCAGGAATCTCGACAGGATTCTAGGTCTTCTGCTACATCGCCGGGTACTCCGGAGTTTGCACACTCTGTGGGACCGCCGTCATTCGGATCACTCATCAATGACAGCGTGAAGCTACTGAGTTCCAGTAGTCGCAGTCTCAGCCTCTCCAGCAAAAGCCCGACATTAGCGACTCAAGGTCAAAACAATGGCCAACTCAATAATGGTCAACCCAATAACAATCAACAGAGCAACGCACAGCAGCCAAATGGCATTGGTGCAAGGACTGAGTCGCCTACGTCCTACCTAGACGCGAAAGACACGTCGACAGCAACGAACGTGGGCCCGCAAGGGTTCGGGAACGTCGGCATGCCAGACTGGTCCAATTCGATGGCGGCAGGTGGCACAATGGACAGCACGATGAGTTTCGGAGCAGACAATCCTAACAACTTCACCATGTCGCACATACTGGCTGCCAACAACAATAATAATAATGTCATGAACAATAACAACATGGCTCAGCTGGAAGATATGTCCATGACGTTCGATGCCAATGGCGATCTCGATTGGGCTAATTGGGATAACATGGTGCGCCAATTCGGTATGGATATCGACCAGACACCAGGCGATGCGGTAGCGAGCCAGCCGGTGCCTTGGAATGTGCCAGGTTGGAATGGCGTAGGAAACCCGGCAGGAGCGATGCAGAGCGACTGGTTTTAAGAGAAGGCTATAAGTGGGGTTTTTGAATACGGTGACTTTTGTACGCGATTTGCAGCGAGTTATGCCTATACCATTTGTGTTTATGATTCACTTCCAAATTCGAAAAATTATCTCGCCGGATTTCGTATGTACACCCCAGGCTACCTGCCGCCAGTTTGGGGTTCGATGATAGGATGATGTGATTTTACGTCCCTCTTTACCCCGCTGCCCCTCGCCCCACACATCGGCAAATGGACAAAGTTGACTCGATGACGCCCAAACAGGATTAATAATTGACAGTCAGGCACATAAATTGTAGCTGCCGTAGTAGCAAGTCTGCTCCTTCCTTGCAATATCTGCCTCAGCGAAATAACATCTCAAGGTTGATTCTTTGTTACGATAAACACTAGACAGCTCACTTTAAACCTATGTCCCCACAAGACGCCACCATGAAGGAAGCAATTGTACGAGCACTTTGAGCTTATTCTTTGAACATCGACTATCGACTAACACCAAAGTAGGTCTCCAAAGGGCCCACTGTCACCATCAAGGATGTGCCAATTCCGAAGGCTGGACAGGGGCAGGTGGTCATCAAAGTAGTTGTGTCCGGCAGCAACCCAAAGGTTCTTAAGACTTGGCCTTAGTCGACAACCCTAGACTCTTGAGATCTAATACAATGCTGGCAGGACTGGAAATTGCCCGAGTGGACTGGGGCTGAGGCTAATGAGGGAGACGATATTGCAGGCACCATCCACGAAGTCGGGCCCGGCGCGTCGGCATACGGCTTCAAAGTTGGAGACCGAGTTGCTGCTTTCCACGAGTAAGTTATGGCTAACGATAGCTCTTGGTAGGCCATGGCTGATCGTTCTACAGAATGAGGACTCCTCACGGCTCATACGCTGAATACGCCGTTGCTCATGCCTACACCACCTTCTTTCTGCCTGACGAGACAAGCTTTGAGGGTAAGTGAATTCGTCTTTGCAAAGACCTAGTTCACTGACATGGCTGCAGAGGGCGCAGCACTGCCCCTCGCATTCTTGACTGCGGCTGTGGGTCTCTACGCTCATGACCGTCTGGCTTTGCCCGAACCATGGGCCCCTGCAACCAAGACAACGCCTTTGGTGGTATACGGCGGGGCTTCCGCAGTCGGAGCATATGTGATCAAATATGCTCAACGATCCAACATCCACCCTATCATCACAGTAGCAGGGCGAGGCAAAGACTTTGTGGAAAAGCTCATCGATCGCAGCAAAGGTGACACCATCGTCGACTACCGCTCGGGTGACGAGGCTGTGGTGAAAGGGCTCAAGGAAGCGCTGAAAGGTGAGAAGCTGTACCACGCTTTCGACGCGGTCAGCGAAAAGGGTAGTTATGTCAATATTTCCAAAGTTCTCGAATCAGACGGAAAGATCACATTAGTCCTGCCAGGCAAGGAGGAGATACCGAAAACGATCCAGAAGAGTCAGACTATGGTCGGGGACGTCCATAGTAAGCTCAAGGACT